GGGGGAGAGAGAGAGAGAGAGAGAGAGAGAGAGAGAGAGAGAGAGAGAGAGAGGAAGTGGGAGTGTGGGAGCAATACTAAAGGGAGAAATATTTAAAGAATATGTCTATCAAGTTTGATAATGCCCTGAGGCATGCCCGCTCGTCTGGAGCTGGCCTTCTGCATCATGCACATGCAGATCATGCCTCAGGTGGTGTTCGCAGACACATGCAGTCGCCTGCTCTTATCTCCAGACATTCTAAAACTGTCGGGCTGGCTTTCCACATGTCCCCAAAACTCAAAAGGAGGGAGACAAAAGGAGGGGCGCCACAGTTCGAGAAACGAACAAAACCTAAGGTCCTAAGCTGTCCTTCCACCTCTCCAAGGCAAAGCTCTCTCTCTCTCTCTCTCTCTCGAGCGCGCGCGCGCGCTCTCTACCCCCCCCGGCGCGCGCGTGCACAAACTTCGGAACTCGCACATGGCGCCGATGATGGCGGCTTGCCACCGAAAAATCAGAAAAGGGGGGTTCTTTTATTAGCCAGCGGACTTATACAGCTGGGTGCAGGCCATGCACCGCGGCTTACCGCCTTTCACGAAAGTAAATAGAAACCAAACCTCCTCGACGAAATCCATCGGTTCTTCAAGTTTTTCAACTTCAATTTATGTGGTTCGAACATAGCTGGTCGCCCAAACTTCAAGCTCTTCAACAGTCAAAAGTCTACCACTGCGTTCAGATATGATAATATTCTACATCCGGCGTCTAGCCTCGCTTTTGGCGTCCTTTGCCTGAGAGAATAGATGACGCGCGCGCACGGGTTTGCACAACTCCATACGCGCACGCTCCCACGCACACAGCTCACAATGCGCGCGCGCACGCACACACGTCCCGGCAGGCGGGCATGCACGCACGCGCACAAAAGCATGCACGCACACGCGCCCGTGCACCCACGCATGCATGCACGCACATGCAACGTGGCAGGGAGAGAGAGAGGTAAGGGAGGGGTTACGGGTGTGTATGTGTGTGGGAAAGAGAGGAGGAAAGGAAGTGGGGAAAGGAAGGGGAGGCAGGGTGTGCGTGCCTGTGTGTGCGTGCGTGCGTGCGTGTGTGTGTGTGTGTGTGTGTGTGTGTGTGTGTGTGAGAGAGNTGTGTGTGTGTGTGTGTGTGTGAGAGAGAGAGAGAGAGAGAGAGAGAGAGAGAGAGAGAGAGAGAGAGAGCCCTTGCGATGACAATTTAACTTGAACTTCTTAAGGACATTAGAGCGGCTGCCCGAGTCCGGCAGCAAGCTGCAGTTTTCTGAATTCGTTGACGGCTGTCATACGTACGCGCACCCCATCCGGCAACAAAAAAAATTCCCGAAGAGCGCGGTGGCTCCAAAAAAATTCGTTGACGACGGTTCATCCGAGTGGACCAACGAGGCATAATGAACTGGCGAGCTGCGTCAATGAATCGTCATCATCTTCCCTCCCTCTCATGCATACGCACGTAGACACAGAGAGAGAGAGAGAGAGAATCGCGCTGGCATGCACACGCATTGCCAATAACAAATTGTGCTATTCTCGCTTCCGCTAGCACTGATCGCAGGAAGCCACTGGTCATCTGTTCAGCAGCATGCAGCCTCTAGACCTCGCCTCCAATGTGTACATTGTACAACTTCAACAAAACGCCGAGCAAACGACCTCTCGGTCCTGTTACCTTGCAATTTGCAAGGGCCTCCCTCCCGCTTGGGAAGTTGGGATAACTCTGATTTGTCCACACAGAGCCTGCTCCATCCAAAAGGAGGCCGCCCTCTAACGAGACTACGATAGTGCATCACACTTATTCCTACAGTGGAGTGACGCCTCTCTTTAGCAAGTACTCCATGGAGTCCATGCTTAGGAGTCAGGACACACACATCTTCAGCTTTCCTGCCAGCGTAAGTATAAGGTACGGCGCTACCGTCGGTAAGTGCTCTTGCAAGCCAGGCAGCACTCGTTTGGAAAATGACTGCCTGTCGCCAGCTGTCATGTCATTGCTCATCGAGTAATTACTATAATCATCTCCCCCCCCCCCCCTGGAGCAGTGTTCATCATCAATTACCTTGAAGTTCATTCTTCTTAGACATACCGGGGCTCCATCTCCGAACCTCGGGCCAAGATCTTGAATGGCTTCGGACCGATGAGGCGAGGAGCTTCGGCTTGGCTTCGATCCTTGAACGTTTGGTAGCCTCGGAATTCCGCGACCCCTTTGTGAGCGGGAGGAGGAAATAAACGGGTTGGTACTACGTAGCATCTAAAGCAAGAAGACGCCCTTGTACCCCCTTTCCACTCCATAAAACACATCGCCAATTCTTGAAATGAATTGGCATTGGTAATCAATCAATCAACAATCAATTACTAGTAATTAATGAGTCTATATCTCATTAGAGGTACTAACGCTTCCGTCAGTTAGCTGCTGGCTATCCCGCGGATGGCGCGTTTCTTTCTCTGACCTTAAATTTAACAAGCATGAAGTCAACCATCATCATGCTATAGATTAATTAGCGTTTTGCAAACGACAATTCTGCAAATAGACGGACAGCAAGAGGAATGAAAATGATGAGTCAGAGCCTCCTACGTTGAGGGCGTACTCACAGTAGAACTTTCATAAATGCATCTGACTGCAATTACGGCCAAACCCTGGCTAAACCTGACTGCAATTACGGTCTAACCCTGTCTGAATCTGACTGCAATTACGGCCAAACCCTGGCTGAACCTGACTGCAATTACGGCCAAGCCCTGTCTGAATCTGACTGCAATCACGTCCGGAGGTTACTAGTAGAAAAAGTTAATGTGTGAGTAATCTGAGTTGGATTAGCCTTTCCTCACACCCCAGTGCCTCAGCCGATTGTGGTACTACCGCTACCGTCTTCAGCCGAGTCGACTTTCAGTCTAGATGCAGCGATAATGACCGGGCGTTCTATTCGGGTGAAGATGGTAGTCGTTCGACCGCGGACGTTGATGGGTACTAAATTCGGTCCGCAGAGAGACCGATGATTAATTAGGTCGACTGCTTCAAGCTTTCCCTCGAACCACCGTTGAGCGCAAAGAGTGGAGCGGAGGGTAGTTTGTCCGCTAAAAGAGAATCATCGGGCTGAAGATCCCGACCTTCAACTGGGTCCAGCAACAGATCGGTCGGCTTATCTATTGGTCAGTATATACTGATCCATCACCGATCGACTCACTCATTGATCAATCAAGTGGTAGATGGCTCTACCCCGACGGACAGGCTGGCAGGCATGCCACAGGATTGGGCTAGACTGGGTTGGATTGAATGGGAAAGGATAGGAGTTGGGTCGATCGGACTGGAGCGAATTGGATATTAGGAGAGAAGACTCGAGCGGAGTGGAGCGGAGTGGAGCGGATTTGAGGACGGCCGGCCTGTCGCCTGGTCAGCACACAGGCAGGCCGTTTGTCTCACTATCGTCCGTTGGATCGAAATCAATCGTGTAAGGGTTAGGTCGGATTCGAGATGACTGGACATGATAGGGTGGCGGAAGGGAGGCCGTTTCTCTTGGAGCTCATCGTTCAATCGTAGAGTAGGGCTGGGTTGGGTTGGGTTGGATTGGATCGGCGCGGGAAGGATCCGCGAGGGGAGGCCCCTTTTGTCGGGAGTTGGGTCGGATCGATTCGGGTTGGCTCGACTTCTATTGTACTCAATCGGGCAGGATCGGGTCGGAGGGATTGGATTGGATTGGATTGCAGTGGGTTGGGTCGGGGCGGGTTGGGGGGGGTTGGGTCGGATCTGATAGGGTAGGACCGGAGTAGTCAAGCATTGGATTGGATTGGGTGGGATCGGAGGGATTGAATTAGATTGCAGTGGATCGGGTCGGATCGGGTCGGATCGGGTTGGATTGGATTGGGGCGGATTGGGTCGGATTGGATCCGATCGGGTTGCATTGGGTCGGAGCGGATCCGATTGCATTGGATTGGATTGGGTGGGGATCGGAGGGATTGAATTGGATTGCAGTGGATCGGGTCTGATCGGGTTGGATTGGGTCGGATTGGATCCGATCAGGTGGGAATCGAAGCGACCAGGCCCCTTTGTTGCAGAGTTGGATGGGATCAGATAAGATCAGACCGGATTGGATTGGACTGGATGGGATGGGACCGAATCGGAGGGAATGGGTTGGATTGTAGTGGATCGGGTGGGGTCGGGTCGGGTTGGGTTGGATTGGGTGGTGGGTGGGATTAGGTCGGATCTTATCGGGTAGGATCGGAGCAGGCAAGCCCCTTTGTCGTGGGTTTGGATGGGATGGGATGGGATCGGATTGGTTTGGACTGGATTGGGTGGGATCGGATCGATCGGTTTGGATTGGATCGAATCGATTTGCGATTGGGTTGCATTGGACGGGATGAGATGAAATCCGGGTTGCGTTGTGATGGGGATGGGATGGGATGAAATCGGATTGGATTGGATTAAGTCGCATTGGACAGGATGAGATTCGGAAGATCAACGACGACAGGCTGGGTTGGAGGAGGATTGCCTGCAATGTGATGTGCGTTGGATTTCATGCTGGCGATTAGATTGGACTGTGGATTGGGTAAATTAATTAGACTGGATTGCTCTCAATTGATCGACAATCATAATCGATCGAGGCTTGGGTGCGAGATGATGCAACGGCGGATCGAGAGGAGGAAAGGGTTCGCGCCGTCGAGGTAGGCGGCGGAACGCGTGATGATTACCTGTGTTTCCATTGACGAAATGGAATGAAACTATCATTACTGCTGCTGTCCGCAATTAGGTACTAGAAGAAGAAGAAGAAGAAGATGGTCAATAGTTATGGCAGGCGATCGAGCCCCCGCAGGTGACCATCTGCTGTAGGCTCTGCCCGAGCGGAACCGACGCGGGAACTTCCTCGACCGTTTCGTAAAGAGGTTGATGCAGTGTCTCGGGCAGGAACAGGCTGACGACGGCCGCTGATAAGCTCATCAGCCCGACCATGATCGAGGGAACGACTGAGCTCTTTCTCCCCAGCAACGCGATGTAAGTCGCGATCGCACCTCCCACTTGCGCTGATTGCGATCCCGTCGCATAGGCCACGTTGCGCACAGCCGTCGGGAACAACTCCGTCGTGATCAGGTCCATCATGTTGTACGTGTACGCGATTCCGAATTTGCCCATTAAGGCTATGACGAGCCTAGCGATGGCGTCCGCGTCGTTGGATGCTTTGGGGATGTCCCGACCCACGACAGTCGACATACTCGCAACGATGATGGAGCACGTGCCTGACAGCACAAGCCCATCGAAGAGAAGGAACCTGTGACCCCTTCGATTGACCAATACAGTGGTGAGGAAGTAGGCTGGCACCTCGGCCAGACCGTTAAACACGGTGCTCAGGTAAATGTTGGACCCCAGATTTCCTATGTTCAAGCAAGAGGTATAATAGGCTATGGAGGCAGAAAAGCCAATGTAGGTGATGCATATGAGTCTCTTGAGGATCTCCCACCTTTTGAAGACGTCGCGCCAAGCCCCCCGTCCTCCGCCGCCTCCTCTGCCTTTTCTTTTTTTCTTCCCCCCGGCCTTCGCTGCTGGCTCCAGCGTCAGCGCATTATCAACCCCCCCGCCAGGCATCACGATCCGCTCGAGCACATTCTTCTGCTGCTGTAGAACCTTTACGTCGCGGAAAGCCGACACCTTGGCGCCGTTGCTGCCCTCGACAGCACTTTTGCTACCCGGTGATGACATGCCATCCTGCAGGTCCAAATGTCCCATGGGCGCAGCGGCACCCCGCGCACCCTCCAACAGCTCCTTAGCCCCCCCCCCGGGGGCAGGAGCGCCCCGCGCACCCTCCGCCGATAGCTCCACAGGTCCCCCCACGGAGCCAGCAGCACCCCCCCGGTACACATGCTCCCCCATGGGGGCCAGAGCACCCCGCCCATCCTCCAATGACCGAGGAGTGGAAAGGGTTGACGACGATGAAGAAGAAGACGACGACGACGATTTCGACGGCGGCTCCGTACTCACTGTCGTTGTGCTCACTGACAGCGAGTGTGGCTCTCCGTCTCCGTGGTCATCGTCCGTGCCCTCCTTTCCGTTCAAGCTGTGGTCCCCACCTCCGGCGTGAATGTCTGCCACCTTCTCCGACCACCCGCGGTCTCCTATGCTGCTTCCTTTCCATCTATCCCGACCAGCTTTCTTTCTCTCCCCATCAGGATGACCGACCTTGGGGGCCATGGCACCTGCTGCTCGAGAATCGCCGCCATCGCCGCAAATGAGCCCGCTCTCGTCAATCCCGATGGTCCCGCTCTCGTCGTCGCCGCTGTCCGAGTCTGCAGAGGACGAACAAGACTCGCCGCCGTCGCTGGTTCTGCCCGATCCCGATCCATACAAGTCCTCTCCTCCCTTTCTCCCCACCATTCCTTTGGCCACCATCCCTCCTTTGCACTCTGGCTCCTTGAGTGTCACGTTGTGCGGGATCCGTCTTCCATTCCTCCTCGCCAAGCTCCTCAGAATGGCCATCGCCTTCTCTGTTCTGCCATGAACAAGCAGCCATCGTGGAGACTCATTAGCTGCAATGGCGCTTAGGAGCACGAAGAAGAGAGAAGGCACACTCGAGACGACATACAGCAAGCGCCACGAATCCGCACAGAGGAAGGCGATCAGCGGCAGCAGCATGATGCCAATTCCCAGGAAGGAGCGCGCCAAAGTGCCCGCCTTCCCTCGTCTCTTCGGGCCTATCATCTCCATCGAGAGCGTGAACGCATTGAGTGTTATTCCCGCCGTCCCGATCCCGGTGATATGCCGGAGTATCACATAGGCTATGAAGTTCGGCGAGGCCGCGGTCACCAATCCCGACACCCCCGCGATCGCGCAGGCCAAGAGCATCGTGCGCTTGCGCCCCATGGAGCCGTCGGAAACGGTCCCGAAGAAGCCTGCCCCCACAAGGAACCCCAGGAAGAAGATAGACTGGGACAAGCCTACTTGGTAGTTCCGATCACAGAACATCCCCAAGTCGGATATTGTTGATCTCTCTGGGTTAGTCCAGTTCCATTGAGCCCTCGGCAGCTGGCAATAAGCAGAAGAAGAGGCGGCGCTGGAATTGCACGCCGTCATCCAGGTGCTGCTGGAAAGCGACGCAGGTGATGGGATCGAGACCGCGGCGGAGGTGGTGAGCAAGTCCGCCGTATAGCTCGTGGTGAGGGCTCCTGCTCCTCCTCCTCCTCCTCCTCCCACACATGACCAGTCCGGTTCCAGGTCGGAGAAGATGATGACGAATGTGTGGATGGCTTTCAGTATCCAGGCAAGATTGAGCACAAAGAACTGACACAGCTGACCTCGACCGAGCTGACCAACGTGACGCTCCAGCATTTGGTCCACGGTCAGCGCCTGACGAGTTGTGTCTCGACCTGCATTTTCTCCTTTAGGAAAGAGCTGCCGCTGACGATAACCCTGCTTCTCGCTGGGCATGTGCGGAGCAAGATCGGGATTCTCCTGCCGCCCGTGGAAAACTGCCTGCAAGTCGCCCAGAGCCGTCTCTACGTCCTCATCGCTTTCGTCCGATGCCGCCGGCATATCATCCACCATGATGGCTCAAGTCGTGATCTTCCTTTCCACTTCAAGTTGCTGACTGGTCAGCGACAAGCGACAAGCGACAAGCGACAAGGATCACTATTGACAGTCCCCTCCTCTTCAATGGTCTTGTCTTCTGCCAAACAGATGGGTCAGACTGCAGCTGCAGCTGCAGCCAATCAGCAAAACGACAATCGTCACCTGCCTCCCTCATACCCACGTTAACCAAGTTAAACCAACCACCATCCTCTTTTCTCCCATTCGTGACTTCACCGCCCATCCATCCCGTCTTGAGCAGGAACGACACCCGAACGGATTTCCTGCGGGAAATGCAGCCCGACTCGACGGAGCAATGTAGACGTACACCCACACACACACACAGAGAGAGAGAGAGAGAGAGAGAGAGAGAGAGAGAGAGAGAGAGAGAGAGAGAGAGAGAGAGAGAGAGAGAGAGAGA